GAGTGCCCCTTAACATTCAATGTGCCCATCAGAGTGCCCCTGTAAGACAATACCCTATCTTGAGGGCAGACAGGAGCTGTGCCGAGATCTTTGCGTACACTTGTGTACAGGCAGGGAGCGGGAGCCGGAGACCGTAAGCTGAAAGGGGTGGGGTGCACACGTGATGTCATGTTGCCGTGACAACCAACCTGCTCAACCTGGATCTGTCATTGCGGACTGGCGGTCCGAGCAGCAGTGCTGCTGGGGCCATTCCTGGACCACGGTCTGCCATTTAGTGACCGCTGCTCTAAACCAATTAAAAGTACATCAGTTGCATTTAAAAACATTTATTTTTTAGAAGACCAGTATCTTAAGGGGTGTTTATATCTGCACAGGAGTTGCGCTTCAGGGCCGGTTCACACTATAGAAACGCAGTCCAGATGCGTTCCGGATGTGGTTTTGCATGCACGTTTTTGTTGCGTTCCAATGCCTTTTTGGCGCGTCCCAGTGCACTTTTTATGCATTCTAGTCATTTTTTCCCCTCTCTTTTTCTTCAATTTAAATAGGGACATGTGCATTCCAGTGCATTTTGGTCCATTTTTCATGCGTTTTATCACGTTTCAGTACAGTTCTATGCAGAAAAAAATGCAGCGTGCACTACTTTTTTTTCTGCAACCAGAACGCACTGGAACTGCAAGCACTGATGTGAACTATGACATTGACAACCATATAACCTACTTTCTGTGCATTTTGGACGCAGAGAAAAAAGCAACTGAAACGCATGTAGTGTGAACTGGCCCTTAAGACTACACGACTGGGGACTCTGGCCTGCAGGGGAGAATGAGGAATGAAAGGAGGACTTCCACTGCAGTGCTAAGGAGAGTGTCAAATTATCTTTTTAGTCAATATCTTTCAGCACATGAAATAGTTTGGCGTGGTGCATGCCATTAACCTTGCCCTTACTCCACCTTCTGTCCTGTACATAGTCTCCTGGTGTCAAAAAGGAAAAAGCTAATACAAGGGATGCCAGATGAGGTAGATTTTTATTTCATCTGTTCATTGAAAATAAAAAAGCGCTGTTACAGAGTAGAAGACATCCCCAGAAGAAACACAGTGAAAACACAGCCTACTTGAAACACATCTTGCTGAGAAGACACAGAATCCAGCGTCTGCCATGAGACAGACCTGCAGAAAATCTCTTGAACTGCAAGCAGTATTTTCAGAAATGCCTCTGCAGATCAAATGTAGGGACACTGCACTCCCTGTCTAAAGAGACAATTCAGGATTTAATGAATCCACCATAAAACTGCCAGCAGCTGCTTGACTGAGGAAATCCAACTCAAGGAGACTTGAGCCAGCAAGGCTAGAGAGGATGTCCTACCTCCTTAGGACACCAAGCCAAACTGAGTTGCTAGGCAGGTACGATTTTAGAACAGACCTGGACAAACTGAAGATCCAGGGTACACCTGGTTCTCGATGCCTCCACCATCAGCATGCCTAACTGAGGAAGCTGACAGGCTCAGAGAGGCAGAATGACAGATGTCTGGTGTGGAGAGCTGCAAAAACTGAAAGTGGGGAGACTGAGGAGTCAATCGGTACAGCGGGGAGGCTCAGTTCTGGCTGGAAAGCGTTGCTTAGAAGACATCCCAATACTCTCCCACCCACGTCCTGGCTACCTGTTCTCACCAACCCCAACCGCCTGCTGAAAGAAACCTATTTCATGAGCAGTTGCGCCTGTTATTCCTAGCACCAGGTGTTCTTGTCTTCTATATGTTTCCATACTTACGAACCCTCCCAAGTCCAAAATTAATATTGCACAGAAACAAGTTCAGCCCTCCAGAACAGTCAATTTCACATGTGGCCCCTTAGGAAAATCATTGCCCACCCCTGCTCTAGAGGGAACTAGTCTTTTTTTGTTTTACATAGTGCTCAATCCCCCTGTGGAAGGCAGAATACACACAGGTCATAAATCCACTGTGGAATGTTCTTTAGTGAGCAATCGAGAAAAAAAGTTACATATGCAGAAATGCTGTTCATGAACCTCATCTATAAAAGATATCTGCAATGACTATCTAATGCAAGCAAGCAAGCCAGTTTAATTTGCATTGCACTGCTTATATCTTCTACCAACTGGAATACAAATATGCACTATTTTGCATGATACATAACTGGGATCTATGATTAACAGAACAGGAGGACCCTGGGGGCAAATTTTCCATGCAGTCAAGTCCATAATTACACATCTAAGTGCATAATACACAACAGTTGGTTGGAAGGAAAAACCCTTTTGCTTCTGTGTATGTAGATCTTCACAAGTGGTATAAAATGACATTCCACCCACACTGAAAGGGTTAACTGTGGATACAGATTTTTCCTTTTTATGCACCTATCAGCAGCATCAAACAAAACAGGCCTTCACATGGCATGGCAGGCCTCACAGTCCCTATAGTGGTAACAAAGAAAACAAAATAGACGGGCGATTTTAAACCATCACCATCAGATGATATGGTTTGGTGCAGGTCAAGAGCAGAGAGGAAGGGTTTGGAATATATTGAAAACCATTTAAAGAAGTTGCCTTTGAAGGACTCTCCTGAATAGAGGAGGAAAATACTTGTCAAATTCAAGTTGAAGTGAAAGCCACTTGTGTTAGTGAAGAGTACAGATGGCACTGAAGAGGGGGCGTAAAAGAGTCTGAGCTGAATCTCTATTGTGCGTTTATTGCAGAGAACAGGCAACATCTGTTTCTGGGTTAGTATAGACTAGATTATTCCACATCAAGAACTGCTCAGTCACATTAAGGAATGATTTACCTTTCACTGTGACACTGTGCATTATAACAGGAAATCAATTAAAAGCAATGTGTTCAATATTAAAAAAGCTGCTACTTTAATTAAATTAAAAAAAAAAAAAAACCTTTAAAATAGTAAAGAACATGATAAAATCCAATGAGAACTAGCTTACACTGACCGATAATGAGCAGGATAAAGTTTAATAACATTTAACGTGGATGTAACCATGTATTAACCCAGTGAAGTGACTATCTCACCTGCAGGCCTGGGACCCACAAAGTGCTGTCAGGTAGAGCCTTAAAAGAACTCAAAGTGACGTATGACTTTCAAATTAAAGCGGTTGTAAGCCCTCACATATACCCAATGAAGCAACTGGCCTCCTACATAAATCCTCCTATATACGTTGTACCTGTCTATCTGCAGTAATTTCTTCTCTACATTCGTTCAAAGTCCAGAATTTATAAAGCTTATCTGAGAGTTCAGACAAAAAAAAAAAAAGATGGAGAGCTGAAATTACACACTGCAGAGCTCAGGAAGGAGAGCTCTGTGAGCAGATTGGAAGAAACACACCCACCTCCACACAGCTCTAAAAGGAACAGAGCTGAGGCTCTCAATCTGTTGGAGGTCCCTCCCGTCACCATTTTTCTCTTGGTGTCAAGAAAACTTGTCAGAGCCTATTCATGCTTATAGCAGAGGAACAAAGCAGCAGACAGAAATGATACTTCATGCTCATAATTGAGACAAGTACACACTATACAGGGATATGCTTTGAACATATTTCATGTCTGAGGTCTTATAACCACTTAAATAGTGCAAATGACAGCACTACAGCCAGAAATCATACAGATTTCACTATAGTAATCTAAAATGTGAATATTGATTATTGGTTACTGAACTTTTCTATGAAATAATGGTCAGATGTGTCTTAACTTGGCTTAGTAAACCTTTCTCAACACAATGACTTTTGGGCTCATTCATACTAAGGGGAGGAACACTGCCTATGCGTTGATCCCGCCACATCACACGGTTTCCTTTTTCACTTTTTTGTGTGAACTATATTGAAATGTCAAATGAGTCTGAGCTGAAGCAGATTTTCAAAGAAGAATGATCAAAATTCCTCCTGAACGTTGTGCTGGTCTGATTCAAAGCTACCAAAACCTCCTGGTTGAAGTCATTGCTACCAAAACACACAAGAAAATTACAATTGTTTGTGTGTTACCAACTTAAGCACACTGTGTTGGTCTATTGTGACTAAAGCAGCCTATAGATTATGTGATTCCACCCATGGTGGAAAAAATAAAAAAAAAAAAATAAATAAAATCGCTCGATTCCCCCATCAACAGTCAATGTTGACAGGGGAATACCCCTGCAGTGCATTTTTGTTCTGCTGGCAGGGAGCCTTCCCTGATGGCAGAACACAATGATTATTGCTAGCGGCTACAGCCACCAGCAGTAATTGCATGTAAAACAGGCTGGTTGTACTTAAGTCGATCAATGGATTGACTTGCGTACAACTAGCCTGCTCATAGATGGATCAAATCTCAGATAGACCCTGCTGAATTGGCCAAGATTAGATTAATCTATGGCCAGCTTTAGATGAGGATCAGACCACATTTTACATCAAATTACTGCAGAAAGCCAGTTAATTCCTATAAGGTTCACATTTTCTTACCACTGTAGGTCAGTCTGAAGTAAGACATATGCCTGCCTGGTGCCACCAATGCTTCTAAAACATCAATTTGGTAATGTATCCAGCCTGCACTTCTCTTTATGGTAAAGGCAGACTGAAGAGTACATATCTATATTATACAGTAACAGTTATTTTAAACTTGAACAAATCAGCATGGATCCACATCCTTCTGGGTTTCTCCGATTTCTGTACCTTGCATACAACAACTTGCTTTTAACATAGAAGTAAAAACAGATTACCGTATTTTTCGCTCCATAAGACGCACTTTTTTCCCCAAAAAAATATGGGGGAAAACGTCTCTGCGTCTTATGGAGCAAATACTGACCAGTCCTCCACCTGTCACCGCCGCCGTGTTAGTGCCAGCGGCTGTCCCATCCCAGTGCAGCCTGCCCCATCCCACTGCAGGCTGTCACCGAAGTTCACCCTGCCCTCTCTCAGCGGGCTGTCCCCGCAGCTCTTCATAGCAGGCAGTCCCCTCGCCGAACCCAGCCAGCTTGCTCTGCAGTCTGGTCCGCCCTTCAGGCGTGGCCTGTCCTCGGAGCTCCTCCCTGCTCCTGGCATGTCTATGTACTGAGCTCCCAGCTCTGCAGTCCGGTCTGCGGGTGTGGCCTGTCCTTACAGCGCCTCCCCTTTCCTGGCATGTGTCCATAGTGTGCTCCCTGCTCTACAGTCCGGTCCTATCTGCTGGTGTGGCCTGTCCTCGGAGCTCAGTGCGCCCCCTGCCTTCTATAGCCTGCCTTCTGTAAGTTAAAATGACAGATGCTGGAAGTTGTAGTCCTTTTCCTTGATGTATGGTGTCAGATCATTTGATATTCTGGGTGGAGGGGCCCTGTTGGGACTTTATATGATGTATGTAGTATGTCCGTGTCCGCAGTCTCTGGTCATCCCCTGTACCGTGTCATCCCCGCAGTCTCTCTGGTCATCCCCTGTACCGTGTCCGCAGTCTCTGGTCATCCCCTGTACCGTGTCCGCAGTCTCTGGTCATCCCCCTGTCATCCCGTGTCCGCAGTCTCCCCTTGGTCATCCCCTGTACCGTGTCCGCAGTCTCTTGGTCATCCCCTGTACCGTGTCCGCAGTCTCTTGGTCATCCCCTGTACCGTGTCCGCAGTCTCTGGTCATGGTCATCCCCTGTACCGTGTCCGCAGTCTCTGGTCATCCCCTGTACCGTGTCCGCAGTCTCTGGTCATCTCTCTGTACTCTGTCCGCAGTCTCTGGTCATCTCCTGTACTGTGTCCGCAGTCTCTGGTCATCTCCTGTACTGTGTCCGCAGTCTCTGGTCATCTCCTGTACTGTGTCCGCAGTCTCTGGTCATCTCCTGTACTGTGTCCGCAGTCTCTGGTCATCTCCTGTACTGTGTCCGCAGTCTCTGGTCATCTCTTGTACTGTGTCCGCAGTCTCTGGTCATCTCCTGTACTGTGTCCGCAGTCTCTGGTCATCTCCTGTACTGTCCGCAGTCTCTGGTCATCTACTGTACTGTCCGCAGTCTCTGGTCATCTCCTGTACTATGTCCGCAGTCTCTGGTCATCTCCTTTACTGTGTCTTCAGTCTCTGGTCATTTTCTGTACTATGTCTGCAGTCCATTGGTTCAGAATATTTTTTTTCCAGTTTTCTGCCTCTAAAACCTAGGTGCGTCTTATGGTCAGTTGCGTCTTATGGAGCGAAAAATACGGTATATGTACTTGCCAAAACACAGCTAAAAGTACCTAAATAACATGACCACGGAGTTCTCGCCAGAAACCAAATTCTTACCCTGGCACTGCAATCCCCACTAAAATATTTATCCAAATAAAAATAAAAGTTTTCAGAGTATCCTAAAAATGGATAATGCTATGTCTCACACCGAGTATCCAGTTTAAGTCTTAGCCCTGAACGGGGAATCCATATAGTTGCAAAAGCCACAGGTATCTGGTAATCATACCTTAGCTAGAGACTACACACACTATTTGCTTGGGAAGGTGAAAAATAGAAATATAGGTACTGCTAACATCTATAAAAAAAAATGTAAATTTTTATGTATATATAAACACAAGAGATATATGTTACCTGCTGCCAATTAATATAAGTATATTAGAAATAGAAAGTTCTACTGTAACTTGCCATTCACAGCCTGGAAGTAGAAAACAAAGCTCGAGACACCTAGAATGTCCAGGGTTAATCAGCCCATAGATGATTTGTCCTTGGTAATAATCGAATGTAAAAGATCTGACAGGCTGGTTGTACCCAAATCGATCAATGGATCAACTTGAGTATAATCAGCTTACCCACACATGGATCGAATCTTGGCCAGTCCCTGTCGAACCGGCCAAATATCGATCCACGTACGGCCAGATTTAGACATTGAGCTTTGTACCCCTGGAAACATATTCAAATGCAAGTAATATGAAAACATTTTGAAACTCATAATCTGGGGTAACTGCACTGATTTTGTACATTTGCAGATTATTAAAAGTCAGTTCCTGTCTAAATTGGCCCTAGTATTTATGAATGTGTGTTAGGGACCTTAGATTGTAAACTCCTTCAGAGCCGGGACTAATGTGAATGTACAATAAGTAAAGTGCTGAATAAATTGGCGGCTCTATATAAATACCTGTAATAAATAAAAAAATAAAGAATGTGTTCTATCTTGGAAATACTTTGCTTGCCATTTACTTGGCCTAGAATAGAAGCAATGCTTTGTAAAACAGGCAGATGAAAATAACTGACAGGATGTGTTCTAAGAACTATAAATTGCTTGTAGAGAAATGCGTATGGAACAGTTCAAGAAAGGATGTTGCCCACGCATTTATTACTTGTTATGGATTTCATACATACACATGGCAATAATCATCTCTAACACTACATAATTGTGATACCACTTAGTAACCTCTGCAAGCACTAATGCTTGCACAATCCAAACTTTCTACGGTAGATTTACCTTACTGACAAAGCTAAAAGGCCTATATAGAACTCATCTACAGGTGAAACTCGAAAAATTAGAATATCGTGCAAAAGTTCATTTATTTCAGTAATGCAACTTAAAAGGTGAAACTAATATATGAGATAGACTCATTACATGCAAAAGCAAGATAGTTCAAGCCGTGATTTGTCATAAGTGTGATGATTATGGCTTACAGCTCATGAAAACCCCAAATCCACAATCTCAGAAAATTAGAATATTGTGAACAGGTGCAATATTCTAGGCTCAAAGTGTCCCACTCTAATCAGCTAATTAAGCCATAACACCTGCAAAAGGGTTCCAGAGCCTTTAAATGGTCTCTCAGTCTAGTTCAGTAGGAATCACAATCATCGGAAAGACTGCTAACCTGACAGTTGTGCAGAAAACCATCATTGACACCCTCCATAAGGAGGGAAAGCCTCAAAAGGTAATTGCAAAAGAAGTTGGATGTTCCCAAAGTGCTGTATCAAAGCACATTAATAGAAATTTATGTGGAAGGGAAAAGTGTGGAAGAAAAAGGTGCACAAGCAGCAGGGATGACCGCAGCCTGGAGAGGATTGTCAGGAAAAGGCCATTCAAAAGTGTTGGGGACTTTCACAAGGAGTGGACTGAGGCTGGAGTCAGTGCATCAAGAGCCACCACACACAGACGGATCCTGGACATGGGCTTCAAATGTCGTATTCCTCTTGGCAAGCCGCTCCTGAACAACAAACAACGTTAAAAGCGTCTTACGTGGGCTAAAGAAAAACAGACCTGGTCTGTTGCTCAGTGGTCCAAAGTCCTCTTTTCTGATGAGAGCAACTTTTGCATCTCATTTGGAAACCAAGGACCCAGAGTAGGGAGGAAGAATGGAGAGGCACACACTGCAAGATGCTTGAAGTCCAGTGTGAAGTTTCCACAGTTTGTGTTGATTTGGGGAGCCATGTCATCTGCTGGTGTTGGTCCACTGTGCTTCATTCAGTCCAGGGTCAACGCAAACATCTACCAGCAGATTTTGGAGCACTTCATGCTTCCTTCCGCAGATGAGCTTTATGGGGATGCTGACTTCATTTTCCAGCAGGACTCAGCACCTGCCCACACTGCCAAAGCACCAAAATCTGGTTCCATGACCGTGGGATTATTGTGCTTGATTGGCCAGCAAACTCGCCTGACCTGAACCCCATAGAGAATTTATGGGGCATTGCCAAGAGAAAGATGAGAGACATGAGACTGAACAATGCAGAAGAGCTGAAGGCCGCTATTGAAGCATCCTGGTCTTCCACACCTCAGCGAGGCTGCCACGTCGCATTGAGGCAGTAATTGCTGCAAAAGGGGCCCAAACCAAGTATTGTGTACATATGCATGTTTATACTTTTCAGAGGTCCTATATTGTTCTATGTACAATCCTTGTTTTATTTATGTAATATTCTAATTTTCTGAGATTGTGGATTTGGGGTTTTTATGAGCTGTAAGCCATAATCATCACAATTATGACAAATCACGGCTTGAACTATCTTGCTTTGCATGTAATGAGTCTATCTCATATATTAGTTTCACCTTTTAAGTTGCATTACTGAAATAAATGAACTTTTGCACGATATTCTAATTTTTCGAGTTTCACCTGTATATACAGAGTCATACAGCCTCTCCAGTTTTCAACACAAACTTTCAAATCCAATATTGCAGAATGTATAATCCTGTTTCAACTGTTTTCCAATTATTCAGAGATCCAGTCCCATACTCTTATTTTGTTGCCCCAAGGAGTTTGGATCAAGAACCTTTTGCATAGCGGCATCACTATATAGGTGAGTGAAGTTATGAAAAGAAACAACCCTCTCCAATTCAAGGCATCCAGTTTAGGAATCCATAAGTAGTAAGGGTAGAAAAACACTGAGGAGACAGGGTTGGGAGGTGTTCTTTAATATTTTCTATTTCTTGTTCCAATTAGATAAAAGGAGCAATCTCTGGGCCTGGGCTATCACAAAGGCAGATGTAGATTATTACCATTCCATTTACCAAGTGATACTGGTGGAAACTATTTTTTCAGATACCTTTTCATCTTATAAAGTTGCTCTTCATTTTAAACAGAAACAAACCAAGAAAGAATCCATGCTGCTATGGATTAATAACACAATGAAATAAGCTCGTGCTTACTGCCATCTCTTTGCTTCCCTCTCTGCTGGACTCCTGTAATCCTCACTAATCTACAGTTTGTCCATTAAAGTGTCTCAAAACACAGACGTGATCTCAAGCCTCTTTTTTTAATGTCAGTTGTTCTCACACTGAGTTTAAGAGAACATGAATCTCTGCCAATTAACATACACATCTATAAATCTTCACCTACAAAGTGTAAAACCATATGTTAGAGACGTGGACTCATTTTCTCAACTGCTTGCCAAAGAGACAAGCAAGACATTTAGAAGCAAGGAACAATGTTGCCATAGGGTGCCAAATTTACAGGAAAAAAGCCCCATAGGCTGCTGTCACGCAAATGTTTGACAAGCAATGCCAAATGGCTCCATAGGCTGCTAGAGTACTGACTGAGCTCTTTGTGTTCCAGCTTACAACTACAGATGGGAAGTTTTGTGGCGGGAAAGGGGGGTGGGATGGGGGGGGGGCTGCTTTCTACGCAGGAAATTTTACACATCCAAGAACACATTTTTCTTCCTACACCACTACAGATCACAGTAACACTTCTGCCTTCACTCATTTTCAAGTTTAAGAGTGACCTAAAAGTATTACACTGCTCCAGAGAACTCCAGGAAGCTACTTATATTTACATATATACACACACATACCATATGTACATGTATTGGCTGGCAGGATTGTGCATGGCTTGTATGTGATACCTAGGTTTTTTTCACATAAATGGTGAGGGTTAATGGTTGATGTGGATAAAAACAGAATTTTTTTCTAATCAGTAGAATTCAATTCTTGGAATATAGTATGAGACACGGGCTCCTTTCATCTGGGACATCCAAAAAAAGGGCCAAATGACAAAACAATGCTAACAGGTCCACTTAAACTAGTCGAGAAGTCTTGACAGACCCAAACTGCAGTTTGTGGCAACTTCCACCCAAAAATTGCATCAGAAGAAACCTGAACATCAACATGGCAGAACTGAAATGTGTGAAGAGAGGCCCTGGTAGCAGCCTTGCAAATGTGAGAGAAAGTTGCATAATGCTGAAAAGTCCAAAAGAACAAACAATTCTACTAGAATGTGCCTTAACAAGATCGTATCCCTATCCGTCAGACTATAGGTCAAATTTATAATGTGTCTGATGCTCCTAGCAAT